TAACACAGAGACCCACAGTCAGTTTGTCTCCAGCAGACACAACAGGCTGCTGACTCAGCTGTATTTTGATACTAATTATCTTTCACACAGTGCAGAGGCACAGGAATTAACATTCTTCAAAACTAGAATAGGATTCTCTTCCCAGCAGCTAAAGCAGTAACACAGGCATAGCAAGGATCTATGTGCAAAGTCAAGGTCCACACCATGAGAACATCAAATGCTACTGAACACATTTTAAAGAAACATTTTATGGATGTATTAACTTTCAAAGATTACTCAGTTAGTGAAAGTAGTTTCTTTGATAAGAGAGTCACTAAGAATTAAAGCCTCTGTAGAAACAATGGGAAAGAATTGCATAAAACTGTGTATGTTTAGAACATGGTCTCAGCAGTTACAGACATGGAAAAATATCAGAAAACAACCTGAATTATTTGGCATCTGTGAAACAATTTCTGTCACCCAGTTCTCCCAAGTGCCCAACGTCTCTAGTGAGGAGATAAAAATAGCAGGAATGCAACTATTTCAACAAACAATCATAAATCTTAAAATGTTAAAACTAAGTTAAATTAGGGATCCAAAGTAGGTTGATTTATTTGAGCTATCCACTCTTTTACTGACATGAGAAAACCCCCCAAACAAATAGAAATATTCAGAGCATGTTTATCCAATTTCTCCCATTTCCCCAAGTCCCAGAGATATCTGCTCCCCGAGGGTCAGAAGTGAAAATCATGGAGATTTTGCTCTTCTTAAAAAAGCAACAACCCCCCCCCCAACTCAATGCCCTTATAAACCAGTATCAGTTCAAGATTCCATATGCACACTGTTATATTACAGTGTAAAATAATGCTAAAAATGTGTATTAATAGAGACATTTTCTTCAGAGACAGAACAATCACTGTTTGCACATGCTTTCAGGCGGAATGAAAGGAACCACAATGTACACATTCCTCTTTCACAAACACATCCTTAAGCCAATGCACTCAAGCGTAGTATGTTTTTGATTGTGAGTGTGTCAAGATAACCCAAACACCCCTGCCAGCAACACTCCATCCACTGTATCACCATCAAACATGACATTTATTTTAAGAATACAAAAAACCCCTAATAAACACACAGCAAAAGCATTTTTATCTCACCCATAATATGTATTTATCGTAAAATGTATTAGTATACAGAAGTCAGACAGTTGACACCGCCAGGAGGAATTAAAATGCAGGTTCTCGGGATAACTCATATTCCAGTTTGCTCTTCCTTCCAACACAGTAATTTAAACAAAATTACATTAAGTACCGATATTCATGAAAAGGCTTATAAACAATTTAGACAATTACAGTAGAGTCATTCCCTCACAAAAAAAAAACCTCAAACAAACCTCTGAACCTGAAGACAAACCAGACAGTACTTGGTATTATCTTTAGACTGGACGACCAAGTTCACACAATAAGCAGGATAAACCACCTAAATGAAAAATCACCAGTGTAAAACCCATTTCCAGTTCTACCACAATACAAAATGCCCTCCCACATTCTGTGTCCTCACTGAAAAGTGTCCCATCTGCTAATCAGCACAAGAGACACTCTGTGTCTGAATTTTTCTTTCAGAAGGGAATATTATACAGAAGGGCCTGTCTCTGGCCCTTTCAGCAGTTCCAAAGAGCAAAGGGGCAGGTGTTACCCCCAGTCCTCAAACTTCAGGCCACTGGTGATGAGGGACCTCAACAAACCAGTCCCAGTGAGGCACCAAACTGCCTCGGGAGACAGAAATGTGGGCATTGTGGTTATTTTCATTCTGATTAAAGGCATATACACACAGTGGTTGCTCTGTCTCTGAAGAAAATCTCTCCATAAATACAAATTTTAGCTTTATTTTACATAGGATGGAAGGATTGTAACATAACAACCTGGGCATCGAATTCTTGCAGTGACACTGAATGCCAACATCTGGACTCATAACAAAGGGAGAGCTGCACGTCTTGTCTTTCATTACTATGTATAAATATTATAAGGAAGCCCTTATTAGCAGCAAGTGAATAATTTTCATTTTTTTGCCTAGAAAAGGCCATGGGTTTTAGGGCAGAGGATGCACCTTGTCCTGCACCGACCGAGCCCTGCAACAGGTCAATCCCAGTGTGGATGTGTCCAGTCCTGTCCCAGCGATGGCACCCAGGCCACGGCCACCACCGCTGCGGCATTTTTCTGTCAAGCACCGCAAATACCACAACGATAGAACAGCTCTGGGTATTTTTCTGTCAAGCACCGCAAATACCACAACGATAGAACAGCTCTGCTCCAGCCGCCCGGGCTGGGCGCCCCTCAGGGAGCCCCCCAAGGCGAGGGCCCGAGCCTCCCCTGGGGCCGGCGGGGGTGCGGCGACCCCTCACCTGCACCGTTTCGTGCCGCTGTGGGGTCGGGCGGTGTGGTCTGGCTGCTTCCCGACCGGATCCGGGCTCTGTCCCGGCTGGATTCGGACTGAGGGGGCGGGGCCGCTCCCGCCCCTCACGGCCCGCCGCCCGCCAGGGGTGCGCGCGCGCGCCTCAGCCCCGCCGTTGACTGGCGGGCGGGCTGCTCCGCCGCGGTGCATTGCCGGGGCGGCGCCCTGGGAAACATGCGAGCGACTTCTTACTGCCGGTACTACGTGGGGCACAAGGAGTTTCGGGCAACGATTCCTCGAGTTGTTCGAGTTCCGCCCGACGGTGAGAGCGGCGGGGGGCCGGGTGGCACCGGAAGGGGCGGCCTTGCGCTCCCCGAGGGCTCGGGGCCGGGCCGCCCCGGCGGGGTTTAACGCGCGGCCTCTCCCCGCAGGGAAGCTGCGCTACGCCAACAACAGCAACTACAAGAACGATGTGATGATCCGCAAGGAGGTAAGTGAGGGGGGCGGCGGCGCGGGGCTCGGTTTCCGTGCTGGAATGGTGTGTGCAGGGGTTGTAGTTCCATGTTGGGATGTTGTGTCCAGGCTTACGTGCACAAGAGCGTGATGGAGGAGCTGAAGAGAATCATCGACGACAGTGAAATCACGAAGGAAGATGATGCTCTGTGGCCGCCTCCGGACAGGGTGGGCCGGCAGGTGGGTGCATCTAATCGATGCTTTAATTTCCGTGGGTAGCTCCTTGGAAGCTTAACAGAACTTTTCCCTCAAGGCTGTGTTGATTCCAGCCAAAAGGGAAACAATACTAACTTAAAATCTGAGTAGTGACTCAATGGCAGTTTAGCTGGGGGAGTTAATATGATTCACAGACCTGCTGCACTCAATGTCTCTGTAATAGAAATTTGTAAAAAAAAATAAGTTATCGCAGTACTTAAGTATTTCGGTAACTTGTACCACAAAGCAGTAGAGTTCCCATAACCTTTTATTTTCCAGGAGCTTGAGATCGTAATCGGTGACGAGCACATCTCCTTTACCACGTCAAAAATCGGTTCACTCATTGATGTAAATCAGTCCAAGTACGTACCCTGCTTTTTTAAGTTGCTGTTGTTTTTATTTAACAGTCTATATTAAACTTGCTGATCACTGGGTACCTGTATTTTACATTGTTTCAAGGTACAGATCAGTTCCTGGGGACGCTGCTCTGTTTTGCAGTGTAATGTACCAGCTGCCTTTAGACCGTGGTATTACGCGTATTTTCAAATACCTTGCTGTAGGAACCCTGTCAGATGTGTTCATAGGCCAAACTGACCTGCCATTCACCTGTCTGCATCAATGTCTTTGGGAGAACTGAGATTTCTGTATTTCACCAAAGCTGAAAAGATTGGCTGTCATAGTTGATTGGTTTTTTTTTTTAATCCTAAGTGCTGTTGCTACTTGGCTTTCATGAAAAAAATGCACATTTTGTCAAGACTTAAAATATGCAAACCTGGAATGCAAAATGTTTTATCCATCAATGTAGAATGAAAAAAAATCTGTTCATGTCTAAAGTGACCTCCAAAAAGTCTCCTTACAGGCTTTGGGGTTTTTTTAATAAGTTAGTTCTATAAACTCTTCTAAAAGACCATCAGTCTTAAACTTCTGTTTTCTTTCCTTCTGTTGTGCACTGCAGAGATCCAGAAGGTTTGAGAGTATTCTACTACCTGGTCCAGGACCTTAAGTGTCTCGTCTTCAGTCTCATTGGACTGCACTTCAAGATTAAGCCAATTTAAATCAGACAAATTGAAGTTTGTATTACATTCTGTATGGGGGAATGGGTGTGGGGGGGAGGATGCTGTTCCAGCTTGTCAGGGTTTCTGGCCTGGAGCTTTTATGTATTTCAGATTTTTTTGTTGTTGTTGTTAAAAACTGTCAGTGAGTGTCCTTATTAAAAGGATGAGATTTCTTTATAATTTTTGAGTTGTGAGAGACTGACTTCCTAACACTTCTTTTAGCATGATACACTCGCTTGTATCACACACATCCTATATTTCTCTGTCTACACAGCAGTAGAAAATGGAATTAAGCCTGGCTCTGTGAAACGAAACTTCAGCCAGCTGTCAGGATAAACCTTTGTTACTGTCCTGAGCTGGCTATTCTGTTGGCCAGCCCAAAAGTGCCAACCAGCTGACTCTGCACGTGGTACCTGGTGGTACCAGACACGCATCACCTTCCTCATGTCCTGTGCTCACCTGTTTGCCCCCAGAGCACAGGTGGAGAACAGGCCCCCAGGAGCCACCCAGGATCTTCACTGACGCTCCCCTCCAGCTTTGGAAAAGCTTGAAAAGCAACGTAGAATGTATTTAGTTAAGTTCTAGTCTAGCAGATCTGTTGTGCAGCATTAATTAAAAGATTTTGAGGGGTCTGAGACTCCCTGTGGGGTCTGAGGTTGTTCCCCACAGCAGCGCTGCCAAACTGGCACATCTATATTTCCTAAGTCAGTAGCCACTGCGATTAAAAATACAATTGTGGTTAAATGGCTTTTTAAAGGTGAAAATCCCCATTGCCGGTACCCGCCCCTCCCGCTTTCCCGCCCCTCGCCACAGGCACCGCCCGCCGTTCCCGCCCGGCCGGGGCGGTGACGGCGCCATCTTGGCTGAGGGCAAGCGCGGCTTCGCGTCGGCTTCAGCCCGGCAGGGAGCGCCGGGCGCGGCCGCCATCTTGGCTGAGGGCACGGCCTCGGCGGGGCAGAGGGAGAAGAGAATTCCACAAAAATTCCACGGAGGAGCGGCCGGAGACCCGCGCGGCCATGGGGGTAGGTGGGACCGGGCCGGGCCGGGCCGGGCCGATGCGATCCGGGCTGACGCCGCTCCCGCCGCCCCTTGCCTTGCAGAAGATCGGGCTGCAGCTCCGCGCCACGCTGGAGAACATCACCCGGCTGCGGGCCGAGGGCGAGGACTTCCGATGGTACCTCAAGGTGCGGCGGGGCCGGGGGTGTCACACATCCCGCGTTAGTGACAGCTCTCAGCTCTCTGACTTCTGTTTTCCAGCTGAAATGTGCGAACTGCGGCGAAGTCTCTGAGAAGTGGCAGTACCTGCGGCTGATGGTACGTGTCCCTGTAACCTGCCTCAGAACAAAAATGGGAACACGAACCTGCCTCTTACACACGTATTAGCATCAGGAATGGGACCACTTGCACTTTAGACGAGTTTTTCAATTTCTAGATGCGTTTCATAGCTTTTCAGTAGCTATATGCAATTAGAAAACGCTGTCATATTCCATACTAAAAAAAAATTTGGATACTGTTAATTAAAATATGCCATTGGAATGGTGACTGTTAGTGAGCAAGTATTTACATCTGCTCTAAAAAAAAACCTTTCTGTAAAAATAAAATTTGAAAACAAATTTTGAAGTGGTATCAGAATAAGGTTGTGCCTGTAAATATTTCTCTGATGCTGATGGAATATTTCTGGAGAAATTTAGGTAATTCAAGGTGAGTTAAGCATGCACTTGGAAACTGAAAAAGCAGGATAAAAGATAAGGGATAAGAGAAGGTTCCATTCTTCAGAAGGATGATCCTTTTTGATTGCTTAATACTGTGTGGCAGGAATGTATTTTGAGGAATTAATAGAACATGCCTATGTGGACCAAGACATAACTATCCACTATTCCCTGTTTTAAGTCTAGAACAGAATTATTCTTTGATAATCACAGCTTCTTGAATTACTAACCTCTTGTTTAAAGAAAAGCCTTCTTGTGGCAGTATTTTTAAGAAGTGAAAGACTGTTGTAAAAACTGCTTTACCTTTGCAGAGGTTTCCAGTGGCTCAGCTGAAGTGCAGTCACAAATGTCTCTGCTGTGTGGTTTTTAGGACAGTGCTCCCCTGAAGGGCGGCCGAGGCAGCGCCACGATGGTGCAGAAGTGCAAGCTGTGCTCCAGGGAGAACTCCATCGGTACGTGCTTACATGTTTAACAGGCACCATCCACTTGTCACTTTTTCTCCCAAGTTTATTTTTTAGTCCCCATTTTTGCTTGTAAAGAGCATTCACCGGGGATTTGTTCCCTTGCACACCAGTGCTCGAGTTCACAACAGGTACACACTCGACATCACGCTCATGAAGGAGACAGCAAGGCCTGGTGAGTCCAGGTTTCTGCATGAACAAAACTCATCTGCAATGTCATTTTACAAAGCATGCAAATTTTTTTTGCATTGGTAAGGTAACAAAATGGTGCAGTGTAAACTTCTCAGGAGAAGGGAGAAAAAGTGAAGGCCTTCTACCTTCTGAAGGCCAGCTGCAGGAAATACTTGGTGACTTTGTTTCTTTTACTTTTATAAGGAAATTTCTTTGAAAGGAGAACCTGGTGCTTGGTTTGTGCTGAATAAAACTGAAGACATAATGCAACTCACTTTTACACTTTTTTTTTGTTTTAGATATTTTAAGTCAGACAATCAAGCCTTACAATGTAAGTTTGCTTCCTCTTCTATATAACAAGTGAGAGATAAATTAGCATTAATACTATTTTGAGTTTTTGCTTTATCATCCTCTTTCAAGAACACAAAAGAAGCTGGTATTGTTCCCTGACAGAAATTGTCTCTTGTAGACTCCTGCACAGAGTCTCAAGTGTAGAATAATCTGATACATTTCATAAGCCAACACAGAACTGTATCACTCAAATTAGAGGTGGTTAGGCCTGTATTAGCAGACTACGAAATTCTAGTTAATGACCACCTATTAAATGAGCCCTAGGATTTTGCTGTCACTTGGGGCATCAGAGATGACAGTACTGCCTTTAAAGCAGTCCATTCCTAAACTAATGCTTGTCACTGTCTCTGTTAGATGGAAACTAATGGAATTCTGGCTCAATTACAGGCTGAAGACAGTGAGAAATTCAAGACAATAGTGGAGTTTGAATGCCGAGGTCTGGAACCGGTTGACTTTCAACCACAGGTGAGATCTTACTTGTGATTTGTTTCTCAGTTTTTAAAAACACTTCTTGTAGACTCCAGAGCGATAACATACACATTGTTTGAAATGGTTCTGGAACATCCTAGACCTTCCCAAATTCCCATTCTCCCCATGGGATTCCCATCCACTTTTTTTCTATTTCATTTGACTCCAAACAAACCCAAAAACTAACAGATAACACTAACAACTCCGATATTCTTTGTGCCAGGAAAATCTAACACTAGGCACACCTTGGAGTCCTACTCCACCTGCCTTACAGGTGACTCAGCACTGCTCACCTGGACTCACCTGAGAGGTCTTCATTGCTCAGGTTATGGCAGAAGAGTCTTTCCCAAGGGGAATTGTGAGAGTGCAGCGTTGGACAGAGCACCACTGTGCTTGCTATGTTACAGAGAGCACATGCAGTTCAGGTTATGAACACGATTCAATGTATGTCCTCTAAAAAACAAATTTCCTTTGGGATTTGACATCACCAAAGCCACAGGGAGTGATTATTGGCAGTTTTCCACGTGAAACTTGAGCAAAGGCTGAAGATCACCAGCACATAAAGGCTGTTGCAAAGCACACCTCAAGGTTCAGAGTTAAAGGATTTCTCCATGGCCATACCAGTCTGCAGTGACTCATCTGCCTGTGCACGGTCATGCCTGTTAACTCCCTGCTATATTTAACCTATTATTCCAGGCGGATTAGGTGGAAATAGACTGACAGATATAAACCTGTCTTATCCTTCCCTCAGACTGTGATGCTGGGCTAAGAAACAGCCCAAAGAAGCCAATCCTACAACGAATTTGATATAAATAGAATCCCCACTGCAGAGTGCTGCAGGAGGTCTTTATCTGTTTATTTAAGTGAAGCCCATCTTTCTGAGGAACAGAGTGGTTATTAGTTTATCCCTGTTTGAAAGCTATGCAGCCAGACCTAGGAACTTACACCTCAAGAAAAATCTATGGGAAGACTACAAAATATAGGAGATGTTTAGAGCTCTGCATCCTAACTGTCAATTTTATTTTTATCTGGAGAAAAAAGCTTCATTAAAGCTTTTAATTTATTCTAAATTTGGTCTCTGCACTTGACTGAAGAGATATTTGAGTGAATTTTCTGGAGCCTAAATCAGTAAATGAGGATTTTCTGATGCCTGTATGACTTCTGCAGTTCCAAACCATTCTGTAAGCTGCTTTATATTTGACATGACCCAAGCCAGACTGGCTTCTCCACAGCCTTACATCTGGCTTTTGATTAGCACCATGGCCATAGTATAACAGTATTTTCTCCCTATTCTTGGTAGACATAATACAAACACACCTGAAGTCAATTTAAAGTGGCTTAACGCTTGCATGTCTTATTTAAATTGTAGTTATCTAAAAAAAGAAAGCAGAGAAAGTATCCTTTGATTCTCCGGATATACACCCTCCTTTTAGACCTAGTACAGAAGCATGTAATTCCAGTCACGTGGCTCCTTGTTCTCTGGAGGGCTGGGGAGTGGCCTCAGGTGGCAAAAGCAGGGCTTCTTCTATTTTTCTAGTGTTTGTTCTGTACTGCAGCTCTGCAGTTTTGCCCCATGATGCTGATCTTCCTCTCCACCCCAGCAGTTCCCTTGAGATGGGCTTCCAACAGTTCTAGAAGGGCCACTGTGCCCTGCAGATCACTCTCCTTGTGTTAGATCTCACCCACTCTGTGGTTTATTTAACTCCCAAGTGCTTAACCTTCCTTCAGATCCTGAAATATTTTAAAATCATGTGGCTTACTTTGCACATTCTTACACAGCTAAATGTCTGACTGGCATTAGTGGGATTTCTCTATCAAAAATGCAAGTGTAGATCCCTTGCAGAAAACCAGGAAGAAACATGGATTTTTAGCCAATTGTTAATAAAATTCTGTAGTTAGAAATGGCAGTGTAAGAAACCTTCCTGTATGCTACAGAAGTGGCTGGGATTTTTAAATATACAATGAAATTTTGTGCTGAGTTACTTTCTTTAAATATGTTTCAATGATCATATTTATTATTTTCTTGGTACAACTTACTTTTAAAAACTTTCTGCAAATGTGTTTGCAGGCAGGGTTTGCTGCTGAAGGTGCAGAATCTGGCACACCTTTCAATGACATAAACCTGTTGGAAAAGGTATGTTGTCTTAGTTTCATTAGTAAATCTAATTGTTTAGCTTGCTTTCCCCAAGTCACTAGTGCAAAATACACACCCTGCTCTTTCCTGGAGCCACAGGAAGGTCATAGCTGGAGAGAGGAACTGCATCAACTATGAACAACCAGCATTACTAAGTGTCACTTTAGAAGTAGGTATTTGATAACTTAGCAGCTGGCAAAGGTAGAAATGCTACTTTTATTTAAGTCACTCAAGAATTCCAAAGGGCAGGAACCTGGAATATTAAATGGCTGGGGTCACGAGAGCGGTGAATTGATTTTTCTGGGAAGATCCCTGCACATTTTCCTGTGCACAGAGGTATTAAAAAGTAATACAGACACTGTCCTTCAAAGCTCAGGATAATGACACTGGCATTGCAAATCTTCCTTGGCTGTGAGCAGGAATCTCAAGGTCAAATCTGTTCCCTGGTATCCTACTTGGCAGGGATCTGCATATCTGCTTACCCACCTGACTAAGGTATTGTAAATGATAGATAATCCTTTCACCTGCCATGGCTGCTGTCTTGTCCACTACAGGCTGTGGACTCCATATGAAAAAACCTACAACATTATATAAATAAAAACACTGAGACTGAAGGTCATTTAATTTCAGGTCGGTGCTTTTGCTTCTCTCACCTGTCAGAACTTAACTTGGTGACTGCACAGTGCTTTCCACAGAAGTCTAAGACCCAAATTTTGAGTAACATTTGGTTTCAGTTTGAATTCCAGTCTGTGTGCATTCTGTCCTCTGTGACTAACTCTGTGAAATCTTATTTCCTGCAGGATTGGAATGACTATGATGAAAAAACAAAGGAATCTGTTGGGATCTATGAAGTTACCCACAAATTTGTAAAATGCTGAAGTTCACAGCCCTAATAAATCTTGACATGCTTATTGATGGAGGAGCTGTATCCATCAGATACAAAGTTTCCTTGGAGTTCCTTTTTTTATCTGGCTGCACTTCAGAAATGGAAACCTAAGTTCATAGAATCATTAAGGTTGGAAAAGACATCCAAGATCACCGAGTCTGACCTTTGGCCAACATCACTAAATTGTACTCACTGTCCCCAGCATTCTCTAATAAAATATTTTCCACAGAGCACTTGGAGATGGCCTCAGTACAAACTGAAAATAGTACATACACCTGACTGAACTGTGCCATTTTCTGAACACTTTTTTGAAATATATACGGTTGTGGTGGACTGTAGCTTAACTACTGCACACAGTGACTGCTCAGACAACTTACAGCCCTAAAGGTTATCATGAAGAAATGGCTATGAGGATTAGTAAGGTTTGTGTTAACTGTTCCAGGGAACAGCTACACCTTTAGTAGCTTTCTGCCACTTCAAGTAAAGACACTGAGCTGAGTGTACTGAGAACACTTACCAAGCTTGACTGCTGTTGACATTTACACAGTTACAATCTTCTGAAAATCAAGTTATCTTTCCAAGTGTGTCATTAAATAAACATCACTTTTAGCTGAAGACAGACATTGTGCTCCTTGGTGGATGCACTCACAATCTTGCCAGCTGTTCTCATGTTTAAAAACAAACAAAAAAACCAACCCACCAAAAAAACCCACAAAGGGAAAAAAAACCAAACCCCACTTTTTAAGTGAACTTTATTCAGACTTTTGGTCTGATTATTGTTTCCTGATACATTATTTCCTTCATCTTCCCAAATGATCACCTTTCCTTTCTTTGTTTAAATGAGCAAGAACAATCATGCTAAGCTTTAAAAGGAGTTCTAAAATAAGGCTTTTCAGGTGAAAACTAGAACAGCGAATTACAAGGTGCAAACAGCCCAGACTAGGAAAAGTTCATAAGCCTTCAGGCTTACCCATTAAAAGCATGCCTCTCCCCTTCCAGCACTTGCAGTTCATACTTCCAAGATATGGTATCGCTTACATTCACTGTGATAAAGAAAAAAGACACTGGGAGAGCCTGGAAGCTGAGAAATCCAAAGGAAGAGAAAAGGCAAGGAGGTTTCTGAGCCTCTGAACCTGATCTGTCACATCAGATGTGCTCAGACTGCTCTGTTCTGCTAATAGATTTGGTTGTCCAGGACAGGGGGCTGTGCTGAAAGACAGGAGCTGCATTAGCTTTACACAGATCACAAAAGCAACTTCTACTCAGCTCTAGAGAAAGACTCATCCTTCCAGAAGAAAAAGAGTGGAAGTCAGGAGGGTTTAAAAGGCGGGAGTTCAAGTTACACATACCATGTAAGTGCAGGATGCTTTCAGCAGTATTCTTTCCAACTTTTATAAGAATCATGAGCTATGGATAAAGGGACTACCCATACTGTATGAATTAGATCTGGCAATAAAAGAACTTTGTGGTTAATAGTAGACAGCTTTATTAAAATACAGTCTTTTCCAATCAGTTTAACAATCCATTTGATAATTGCATATCACTTAAGGCCTCCCACTTTTTGTTTCTCTGGAAGTTAAGAGTGGAAAGCCTTCAAGCAGTTGAGGCACCATCAGTTCTGATAAAAATTCAAGTTTAAAGAGAAAAGTAAGTGTGAGCAGTTAGTAAGAAAGCTTACTGCAAGTGCAAATGGAACTACTCTTTCATGTTTAAAATTATTGCATGTATTTTTTTTTAAATCTTAGCAGTTTAAGAGTAGTATCACAGTATTGATTTGAGTGTCTGAACACTCATGGAACACAGTTCCAAGTTCATAAACTTTTTATTTTAGATGATGTGTTTTAAGAACACATGGATCAGTTGGAACAGATGGATGTGTTACTTAATTTTACATTGTGAGTAATGTAAGTTACTCACAATTAAGTGAGTTACTTAATTTTACATTGTGAGGATGCTTCCTGAAGCATCCACTCAAGGTCTGTAATTGATTTCTTTAAAATAAATACAAATTTCATAGTGAATCTTAACAGTATTCAAGTTCAGTGAAGATACATGAAGCCAATTAAGCTGGGCAGTCTCAGCCATGCTGAACACTGATTAGTATGTCAATTAGACATAGTCTGCATTTTGTACTGCAATTGTAAAGTCTTCTAATGTCTTTATGTCTAAGTACCAATCTTCTTGCCAGTTAAAACATTAAAGATATCTTCTAGTGACTTGTATATACACCGAAGGAATTCTTCACCATTCCTACTTGGGTAAGAGGAAACATTACAACCTATCCAGTCGTCATGTACCTGATATCCTAATCCAAAGCCATCGGACACCACGGGGCCAAACCCTCCCAGCTGCACAGCTGGGCTGACCAAGGTGCTTGTGGAAATGATGTTGTGATTGAGCCGAGCATAGGCCTGGTCTTGATAGAAATCAGGCAGAGCAAGCCCTTTGGATAAGGCCAAGTAGCGCAGGCCGAAGAGATGGCGGTCAAACCCCTGCCCTGTTCAAATCAAACAACATGTATTAGAGAGGTGGCTCGTTTTTGTGGGAAGTAAACTCATTTATTGTGACATCACATTGTTTTTCAGCCACAAAAGAGGTCTGTAGAAGTGAGGTTCATTTTTGTATTAGCGGGAATTATTTTTCAGAAGCCAGACATTCTGCCCTTCTCATGCACACATCCCAGGGGAAGAGGGGCTGTTTTACTGCAAGAATCAACCAGGATTATGAGAGTACACTAAAGTGCAATGTTAACAGACAATTTTAATAATACATCACATTCTTTGATTAACTATTTATCCGAACATATCCAAGTTGTTTAAAGCAGAAAAAAAGCTTTCCTAAAACTTATTAATCTAAAGAGGAAGAGGATCTTGCATCAACAGAAAGAGGCCAATTTTAGACTCTATGGGGTAATGTTCAACAGTCTATTTTACTGAAATAGTAAACCAAGTTATGCTTCTGGGAAGGACAATTAAAAAAAAAAAAAAAGAACATTTTGAAAAATGCCAGGAGTAGACTAGCCAAAAATATCAGTTTGATTTGGAAGTTGTTACAGCCTTTATCCCCTGCACACATACAGACTTAAAGCCAAAGTTCTTGGTTGCCCTGGGGAGTACAACATGCACTAAGTATTTATCAAATCTTCCAATACCCCAGCTGCCCTGAGGACAAAAAAAAAGTATAAAAAATTCTTAACACATTAACAGTGATGTGGAAATCACAGAGGCATTCCTCTCCATCAAGAAATGAGTGTTACAGAAGGCATTTTAAACTGCAGCCTTTGGCTACTGTTTTTGTCAAGTTTACATTAGCATCAGACCGCCATCAAAATTAAATTATTTGGTCGTAAATTAAATATTTACAGTCCTTTTCATGCAAAAGCAGAAGTGTATGATCTGTTCCTACTCACCCATAGCAGCTTCTCTTGTCAAGCGGCCGTGGTACTTGGAGCACTCCACTATCAACTTCTGCAGCTCTTCTGTGCTGTGTTTGGACAGTTCCTTGACAAAAGCCTCCGAGCATTTCTTGGTGTGGACAGAGGCAGGACGGATGGTTTCTGTACGGCCGTGTTTGAAAGCTGCAGTGCTGCAAGACTCGTACGTAGCGACGGTCTGGTTGTACTGGCGAAGGAAAGCCATCTGGAAGGCCAGCTGAGCCACAGCATCTGGGCTCACCTTCTTCTGCTTTAGAAGCTCCTTGCCCCCTTTTTGGAACTGAATCATGTTAATAGACAGTGATTCTACAGTGGCATCGAATTTCTGTTTGGCTTTGGTAATCCCTGCTTTTAAGGCATCATTCAGCTTAAAGTCAAGTTTTTGCACTGCTTTAGAGGAGTCTACTGAAGCAGGCTGGGACTGGGGGCTGATGGCTGGTGAGTTGGTGCTGTCTTTAAAAACCTCATTCTGGAACCTGAGCACAGCCACACCATCTCCCCAGGAATGTTCAAAATTGATTCCTGCGGTGCCATCCTTGGTTATGATGAGGTTAAAGGATTTGTCATACCAGCGGTTAGCACCATCCCCATGCAACATAGTGTGGGACAAGTGCACAAAGTCTTTAATGGGAAAATCATCTAAACTTAAACAAAACACAGCAGAGTCTACTTTCTGAAGAGCTTCCTCATTGCCATTATCCAGCAGGCTCTTTCTCAGCGATGCCCACGTGTCTCGGTTTTCACTGGAGAGGTAGCCAAGAGGGAAGGCTGGGGCTGGACTGTTGTCACTAAGGATGTATTTCAAGTGTGCTTGTATCTCTGAGGGTTTCAGCATGTTTCCATCTCTATCGATAATGTCAAACACATAAAAATTTCCATTTCTCAGTACTAGTAAATGCTTTGCCTTTTCGTCTGTATAAAGCTCATCTTTCTCGAGCTTAGGCACCCGTGTGGAATTGAAAAGCCTGAAGTACTGAGACATATCCAGAGGGTAAGCATTGACCATGTAGGCACCAAACCAGGACACCGAAGAAGGCACAAATCGGATAATTTTTTTAAAGAGCTCAGTGTCACTTTTTTCTGGATTGAGGTGAAAAACCTCTGGTTCCAGATAACCAGCCCTGAAGGTCTTCATAAAACGTATGGCAGAAACAGTCATGTTCGTAGCTCGGGTGAGCTGATCGTTGTATTCCGGTTTGGGATCGGGATTAAAAGACATAAATGCATTAAAATTCAAAACAACGGGCTCACGTGCTTTTAGGTACATGTCAAACCAGGGACCTGAAAATTGAGAGTTGAGAAATAGGTCAGAACATAAAAACAGCTCACTGAGTCAGACCAGAGGTTTGTGTAGTCCAACAGTGATCATGAATAAACACACACTGAAGTGCCTACAAACACAACAAACATATGCAGTAATTCACCCAACACCTCACATTTGGAGTGGTACATCCCTTTACCTACTCTTAAATTATTAATTTCTGCAACTCTCTGTCACTGAGGTTGAACCTTCTAGCTGGGCTGTAACAAGGGCAACAGGTAGCTCAAGGACCTAAGTTACAATTTTAATTACAGTTTCTCACAGGTGAGTAACTAGAATTCATCTACAGTTTGCAAACCACATCTGTCATCATCACGCAGCCTTTTAACCCTGGACTTGAAAGTCTAAGGTGGAGGCAAATATACATACTTTCAGAAACCAATTTGAAGTAGAACAGGTCTTTTATGAGGCCTAAAGAAGAATAATAACTAAACAAAAAGTAATACAGACACCCCACAGCTCACGGACAAAAAGCACTGATGAACAACACAAAGCCATCAGTTAAACCCTTAGATGCTGTTCAAAGTGAATGGAAAGTTAAATACAACAAACCAAACAGCAGTTTTTGTACAATAATCTAGTGTTCTCCACAGAATTTATTGTAGCTAACACCCTTAGAGGAGGCCTCAACAGAGAGCAAGGACAGAAGTGCATTCACTGGGCAACATGGCAACTTCTACTTCCATAGGTATTTGAATATTTCCACCTCTGCTGTTATCTATCCAATACTTCCATAAGCAGACACTTCTACGTGGAAGTCAGTGGAAACAGTATAATCAAAAATCTATA